CTACTTCAAGGCCCTGTTCAAGAGTCACACTCAGGAATCACAGGCTCGTGTAATTCACCTGCAAGTACCATCGGCGGCCGGCCTGCAGCGCCTGCTGGACTTCATCTATACTGCCTGGCTGCCCCTGTCCATGGACACTGTGGAGGACACTCTGGAGGCTGCCAGCTACCTGCAAGTCACGGGGGCCTTGGGGCTGTGTGGCCACTACCTGGAACGTCAGCTTAACCCAGAGAATTGCTGCTTCACCGCCAATGTGGCTGCTCGCTTTGGCCTGGCTCGCACCCTAGGTGCAGCCGAGCACTGCATTGTGCGCCACCTGCGGGAGCTGCTACTGATGGGCCCTGGCCCCTCAGGGCTACTGGAACTCAACCCTATATCAATGAAGGTTGTGCTGGGTGCCCCTGATGTGGCACGGGTGGCTGAGACGAGGCTGCTGGGTCTGGCACTAGCCTGGCTGAAGCAGGAGCCTGCGACCCAGCGCCTGGCACACAGTTCAACACTGCTTGGATGTATCCGCTTTGGCTTGGTGCCTGCAGGTGTTCTGAGGCGCGTATACTCAGGCTCCGGTCTTAATTTACCTACGCGGATCAAGGGCCTCATCATCCAGGCCCTCAATTATCATACAGCACCTTCCCGCCAGCCACTCCTACAGGAAGAACAGACTAGTATCCGGAGTGCCCAGACCCGCATCCTGCTGGTTGGTGGTCTCAGAGCTAGGGAGACTGTTACTGAAGAAATTGTGGTCCTGCCAGAGGTAGTTAGGAATCGGCGCCCTGCACCTGAACCAGAGGAAGAAGAGGAAGAGGAGGAGGAAGAGATGGAAGAGAAAGAGTGGGAGCTCACCCAGGATGTGGTGTCCTTCGATGTGTACAACCACAGCTGGCGCAGACTGACACGGCTGCCCGCACCTCTCCTAGGCCACAGTGTGTGTACCATGGGCAACTTCCTATTTGTCCTTGGAGGGGAGAGCCTTTCTGGTAGCCCATCTAGCTCCCTGGCAGATGGCCCAAGGTCGGTTACAGCCTTAGTGCACCGTTATGACCCGCGCTTCCACACTTGGACAGAGGTGCCCGCCATGCGAGAAGCGCGGGCCTACTTCTGGTGTGGAGTGGTAGGTGACAGTCTCCTGGCTGTTGGGGGTCTGGGCTCCTGTGGCGAGGCACTGGCCTCAGTGGAGATGTACGACCTGCGCAGGGACCGCTGGATGGCAGCTGGGGAGCTGCCTCGGGCACTGCATGGTCACGCGGGTGCCGTTGGGGACCACGGTGTTGTGTACATCTCCGGGGGCAAGGCTGGGAGAGGAGAAGGAGGCACAAGTAGCCTCCGGGATATGTACTCCCTTAGCCCCGGAGAAAGGGCATGGAGTAAGAGGGCACCCATGGGCACGGCTCGCTATGGGCATTACCTTTCGGTGCTTCGAGGTGCAGTGTTTGCCTTTTTGGGAAGATATGAGCCCTTCTCTGAGATCGAACGCTATGACCCCAGCACAGACCAGTGGACTCGGTTGAGGTCACTACCCTACGACCGATTCTGCTATGGACTTGCTGTGGTAGAGGAGACAGTGCTGCTGCTGGGCGGTCTCAAGTGGAGGGATTCACGCCAGGTGCCAACCCGTAACGTAGTGGGCTATGACCTTGACCTGGACCGTTGGGAAGACATAGGCTGTGTGCTCCCCTGGGCGTGGAGTGGCCTTCGGTGTGCAGTGCTGCAGCTGGAGGAAGGTGGGGAGGAGACAAGGGAGGGAGAGCCTGGAGAGGCACTAGATTTAGTGTTGGGTTGAACAGGTGAGTCCAGTCTTCAGCAGATCCAAGAGCAAAGCTTTCCCCCTAAGAGTTGGGACTCTGACAGGGCAGTTCTGAAGGGAAAGGAGGCAAATAAGACTTTGGCCAAAGAATAACTATTCCCCCCTTCAACTGCAACTGGCAGCCAGGAACGATCAAATGCACTATGAATCAACTTTAGTTAATCAAAGAGTTTTCAGAAAGATAGACTCATCCTGTGCTTTCGGAAATAAAATAGGACCCTTTTTCCCCTCCCTAAAGTGTTTTCCTGGTGCCTGTGATTATTTTCATGTCTCCCCTTTAAAAAATGTACAATTACTGACAAACCACAGAAAATTGTTGGCTATAAAGCTGTAACAGTCCCACAAGACAGTATTACCTGACAAAATTGTGTGTGTGTGTGTGTGTGTGTGTGTGTGTGTGTGTGTGTGTATGTATGTATGTATGTATGTATGTATGTATGTGCACTCACACACCTCGATAAACAGCATGGAATGGCTGTAGGGAGGGGAATGATTTTTATGGTGCGGGGCCATAAAAGTTATAGTTGTGCTCTAACAGTTACATATTGATAGGGAATTGAGAAAGAAAGCATTTCTTTGAAAAACTATTCTTAGTTAATTTTTTTCTGTCCCTTCCTCATCTGCTTTTATACTGGCTGGAGGCAGCACATTAGCTTAGACATATTTCAGCAACCCTTAACCACAAAATGCTACATTTGTAAAACAAAAATTAGCTTATTGTTGGTGGCTTGCTCCCTCCATCCCCCGTGGGCTCACAGAGAAGGAATGAGTAGGTGAAGTTTACACGGTTATATCAGGTCAGTGGAAAGACAGCTTGGGTTCTCAAGGTCTCACAGGAGACCTCGGTAAGCCCGGAACAGGTGTTACTTCTGGCTTTCGTTAGCTATCAGTGAGGTGGCAAAGTGAGAACTTGTAACTGGGGTGGTAGTAGTGAGGGTGGCTGTGTGATTAGGTCACAGAGAAATGTGGTAAGCCCTCTGCAAGAATAAAGTAGGTGCTTTATAAGGATTCAGTAAGAGCTGAATTTATTTGACTTCAGTTTACAGTGCTGCCTCTTCCCTAGATTTGAAACTAATGCAATAAAATGTACAGATATATAGTGTTAAAAGGTCTCCTTCACGCTAGGCTAGTCATGAGTCTTGTAAAATTCATTAGTTTAATTTTTACCAGTAAAGTAACAGCTGACTTTACAAAAGTGGAATCTGCTGACTAGCAACAGAGCTAGTTTTCCCACCAACTGATTGTTGTTTGCAGGCTGTTTGTCCACTGTATATGTGACACATCCATCATGTACAGATATTTTTATGTGAAGATACAGGTTGGTCTAGTAAACATCAATATGCCTAAATAACTGTAACAAGCACACTTCATTTTAGGACAAGAGGGTTTTTTTGTTTTTGTTTTTCTCTCTCTCTTTCTCTCATTTACATACACAAAATCCCACAAATTTAATGTGTGTCAATAACCATGCAGTAAATAAATGTTTTTACAAATAGGGTTTTTTTTTAAATGATAAAAATATTACACTGGACCCAAAATTCCATACAAACATTAATGTGTGGTTTCTCATCCATTTTGACTAAATATAGGATTACTGAAAATGTGCTGTAAAGGCCACTCTCCTGTACAGTTGTGCAAAGTTTGCAAAACGATAGTGATTTAATGTGATTTCAAAAGCAAAGAAAAAGATCCCACTGTGTAGTTTTTACTTTCTTCTCTACAGCAAAAATATTCACTGGTATATATCTGAACTCTTAGAGATATAAGTACATTCACTGAGCTGTACAGGCAACAGGATAAAGCTGATCAGAAGTAGATTTTTAGGATATAGAATAGTAAAGGAGGGTCTTTTCCTCCTGGAAAAACAGCAAATTGTGACTTGTACATTATGCAGCCACACACTAAAAAGCAGCAAGTCACTTTCATGCTGTGGTCACTTTCCAAAACTAGACACATAGAAATGGCAATATATGAAGAGGACTTTTTCATAGACTCCATCCACTCTATAAACAGTTCAGGATTCTAGGAAAAACCTCTAAATTCTTGATCTCAGGTCACTCAAAGTAATGACTCACCGAATGACCGCCATCCTCTGTTCCTTAGCAGAGAAGTCCATTAACATTTTAACATTGTTTTCTCTATTGTAACTTCTATCTGCCATGACTAAATGTATTTTACTTCTCTGCCTGATATATAATTACAGAAGTTTAGTTAACAGACCAGGGGAAAATTGGAAACTACCTGGAAAATTGAGTCATTTCAGTGTATACCATGTCTTTTAAGAGTTAAGAGTTCAAAAACCACGAGTTTGGGCTGGAATTGGTATGTATATATATATATGTATGTATGTATGTATGTATAGCTGTTAGCTGCCTTTCTGGGTGAGTTAAGTCTGTTTTAAAAAATCCATTCTTAAATTCTTCTGTACACAATCAGCATTTCGTCACTACAAAAATAAAGGAAGATTTAAACCAAGAAAATAAAGCAGCTCTATCTTCAATTTTGGTCTTAGTTACAAAAACATCTTACAAAGCTTTGCCCTGATACACCATGCAGTGTTCTCATAGATTTGGAATAGTACCTCCATTAACCAGTTAGCACAAGTTAATAGACTATTAAGACGGATATTAGCTACCTGAACTTTTCTTATGTTGATGCTCTTCTAGTTTGCTTAATTCTTTTTATACACACCTACATTTCACAAAAATAAAACTACAGCATTAAACTTTGTGCAATGTTTAAGAAAATTCTTAGAACATTTTAATAAATATAAAAAGGTTTAAATTCTTTCCCACCCACAAGGATGTCTGCACCTGAAAAATTGTGATTTCCATTTGAAGTCTCATTTATAGAAAATTAACTTAAAGGGAGAAAAGGTGACTTCAGATAGAAAACTGCCTTTTGTGGTTTTTCTACTTGAAGATCACCTTTATTCATAATTGTTTGCAAAAGTTAATTTAAGTCATTAAAGAGTGTTGGTTTTGCACATGGTAAACATAAGCTAAGCACTGACTGCATATAAAACATACAAATGTTCATTAAAGACAGTGGTAATGTGACCATGTATGCTTTGTTTCATATGGTTTGGTAACATTAAAGTAATAGCTTGTCAAGTGTCCAACACATTGATAAAAACTACCTCATGTACTTGTTCAGGGTACCAGCAGGTACTAGATGGCCTTGAGTCGGAATGCACTTACACATGGGTCTCAATGTATGAATGAGTATGTGTTAGAGAGGAAGTGATAACATCTACTTCAGAAGAAATACTTAGTGGGTCATTTGAGGTGGTGTTTTGACAGATATCCAAGAAAAGGTCGAGGTACATCTGCTTCCATTGTTGGAATTCTTTAGATGTCAAGTCTGGATTGTCTAGGACTTTATCAATAATGGCTACTTCCCCTTCTCTGGCCTGAAAAGCAAAAGAATTTAATAGTTAAGATGGAATCCAGCCCCCTGATCATGGATGCCAATGGGGAGGCCCCTGCACTCCTGGGAGCCTCCGGAGGTGGACTGGCGTTTTGCCCTGGTGGGTGGGGAGGACTTCGAGAGCCCATCCCACTTGAAGGGATTTGCTCTGTCTCTGAACACATGGGGAGGGGCCTAGGCCCAGCACAGGAAGATTTGGTGGACTTGGTGGAGCCCTGGTTGGGGGCCCTACCCTGCCTGGGGAGTGGCGGGTAGATGGGGTGGGGGGTAGGTTGGAGGTAGGGGAGAAGGAATGGGGGTTAGGGGAGGGAGAGGGAGAGGGGAAGTACATGTGAAACAAGCCTGTTCCCTAACTTGAATTAATAATAATAATAATAATAATAATAATAATAATAATAATAAGAGAAAAAAACAAAAAACAAACAAACAAAAAAGATGGAAGTGAAATTTATCCAAATTCAAAATAAGTCAATGAGCCAATAAACTCAGAAACCTCTATGAAATAGATCTGATATGCACACATTCAGTTATTTAGACTAAAATCATGGTGCATCTTTTTTCTTACTCAGTGCTATTTCTTGGATTGCTCACTGTGATTTACTTTGTACTCTTGGCCTTTCCTATTTGTCATCTCTGCTTATGGAAGCCTTCATGTTTTAAGGAAACCGTCCTCATTTCTTCAAACTTCCCTTAAGCACTTGAAAAGAAGCTTTTCTCTCTCTATGATGGCCTCTGTAACATCCTATCCCTGCCATCAAGTGGACTTCTCACTGTCTATCTCTTGAGCTATTCTAGAACATGTCCTTATGCTCCAGTGAGAGTAAACAGGAACCCCTGTTGCTGCAAATACAGAATTCTTGCCTGTGACTATTAAGGTCTCAAAAATACAAAAACAACAACAACAAAAAGGATCCTTTCCCATAACACTGGGGCCGTATAATGAACCGTGCCTTTCCCTTTCATACTGTAGGCTGGGATTCAGCTGACGACTAAGCTTCATTTTGATATTTGGGTATAACTATCAAAGGCACAAGTATCAAATGTAGAAGACGGCAACTTCTGCTGTGGAAGGTAAGATAGAGAAAGGGTTAGGACAGTTTGAGAAAAGCAGTCTTGTCTTTCATGGATATGAAGAGGGCTAAGGAAATCCAGGAAATGTTCTGCAGAAGTAAAAAGGTAAACCTCTGTGTCATATTTGGGAGGGAAAGATGACAACAACATGTCCAAGAAGCAGTTCTGGCCAGTAAGCAGACAAGATACTAATTAGGTATGGGACTGATGATGCTGGGAGTTGTCTCTGATGGGATCCGAGATCTACTCTTGGGCTTGTTTAGGAATTTCTATGTAATGGAACATTTTACAACCTATTACTTTTCCAGGCTCAAAAAAAAAACAGGGTTCTATAATGAGGCCTCCACCAAGTTTTTGAAACAGCAAGGGATATTTCTTTTTAGTGACTTCTTGTCTTTGAAGAGCAGAAGAGTCAAACACAGCACCATGACTCATCGATTTTTCGTGAACTCAACATTTACAGTGGCTCTTATTGTTATAGGACAAAAATATTGTAGAGTACTTACAGAGCATAAAATACAAGAAAAAAAAAGAGAAGAGGAGTATGAAGAGAAGGGAAAGGGAGGGAAGGAGAGAGAGAGAAGAACAAAGGGTGTAGAGTTGGGTGGAGAGGATCTGGGAGAAGTTGGAAGAGAGGAAAAGCATGATCTGAGTAAATTGTATGAAAAAAGTTTCAACAAAAGAAGGCAAAAACAAAATAAGGAAGGAAGGTGTAGATAGCTTTGAAATACAGTTGGTCAGTAGAACTGTTCTTTTCACTATTACAGCTCTCCCTAGAATTGTGGTATTAGCTACAAAAGTTCATTAATTGTTCAGTGGAATAGCATTTGTACAAATACCGTAGAGTTAATTGACTCTGAATCCTTGACTGTTATTACCTGAAAACATTTCAAATCAATTTTTCTATTTCATTTATCTATTTAGTACTCATCTCCATTCAAAATTACATTCTTAGGAGGATGCTGTGGATTTAAAACACTTCTCAAAGAAGCCCTTTGACGTTTTGTGTATTGGAATTACTGTGCTATACATTCTGTATGACAATTCTTTTTGTTTATTTTGCTTTCACTTTTTGTGTGGTACAGGACCTGTTCAGGTAGTTTGTAAGATAGGTCCTTTCCCCCTCTACAAACCTCCTTCTTTAACTTCTTCCTCTCTGTTCCCCTGTCCTTACCACCTGCTTCCCAATCTAGGTGTGACATAAGAAGAATGAAAACACTGTTAAGCACTTGGACAAATATATATTGGGAAGGTAATATGTGCGTTAGGAACTGACCATGTAAAAACCCAACAATTGTGTAATCTTTACTCGGAACATGATGACTATAGCTTCACTCTAAATATGGTGAAGGTTATGCAGGAAATATTCACAAAACATTTCAAGCCCTTTAAACATTCTACATGCATACCATATGCCTTTAATATTTTTGATAAATATACTACATGGTGAACTTTTCTTAAGGTATCAAAAGACTATGGAGTAGCACCAACCCTGCCTTTTGAGAAGAAAGCACATCCTGCTTTCTCCTAAAACTAAGTCATATAGCATTTAGTCAGTGACTTAGGATTTCACTTAAAAAAAAAAAAACAAAAAACAAAAAACAGGATTCCCTTCCAATTACTCTGCTGCAGGTTCTGCCTATTTGCCTTTTCCTTCCTGTACATTTTGTACCATGTAACTTGCAATGTAGTTTCAGTGACAGAATGACTCTCCCCAAAGGAATTATCTGTCCATTTCATACCTTACCTTTAAAGTGCTTTTAAGAATTCTCAGCCTGTGCAGTTTTTCATTCATCACAGGATCATTAGATCTTTTTATAAATGACAGCTTGTATTCCATCTTGGTTGAAATGCGATGTTCCCCTATGAGTGACAGACTGGCTTCCTCCAGTGCCCTGTACAAATCTTGCAAGGAGTCTCCTAACTTTTCTTCAAGATTTTCACCTGTGAGATAGGGTGGGAGTGGGGTAAAGGATGGAGAGAGGGGGGCAAGAGACAGATAGACAGTTTAATACAGTTATTTTGTAGTTTGAACATATCTTTTAAAAATTGGATTATTTGCAAAACAGTCTAATGAATGATTAGGAAAACAATCTAATACTTAAGTATCTCTAAGAAGCAAAATAACCTAAAATAAGTAAGTCAAAATAACTCACAGATGCTAGTTAGATTGGGTTATAGAGCTATGGGCAGCCAATTGTCTTAGAGGATTAAATAGAATTTATGATTCAACAGTTAGCCCCTTGAGAGAAAAATGACACACATATCTTGAGTTCAAAGAATTAGAGTATAAAATGTATATAACATGGAAATGTTGTTTCATATAGTTTAGTATTTTAAGACAATAATAAACACAGATGCTATTTAATAGAGTTCTCCTGGTTAATTAATACTGAATGATTTTCATTTTCTCAGACTTCCTAAGATGTAATGGTATTGTCTGGCATATATATGATTAAGATTGTTCAGTTATTTAATAAATTATTAGATTTCATGTGACTGCCATAGCAACTTCTGGTGCATCATCAATATATTAACTGATCATGTTATTATAAAAAATAATGTTTTGATTTTTATGTGGGAGCTCACTATGTAGGTCAGGGTGGCCTGCAATTCACTATGTAGCCTAGGCTACAACCTGCAACACACTAGGCTGGCCTCAAATACAAGGTACTCCTTTTGCCTCTGTCTCCCAAGTGCTGGGATTACAGATATGTTACCATGTTCAGCAATAATAATGTTTTACATGAAATTAAAATGAAGCACATGGATATATTTATAAGCAAAATATCTGGCATGCACTAACAGAATTTATAACATTTTAAAATTCAGACAAGAAAATACTCCACTTAAATATTTCTGAGAAAAATTAAGACAATTACAAGTATGGATTTTAGATCTAGATGAACAAATGAAAGTGTCATCTTGCTTTAAAATTGTCTGAAAATGATGTTATATCAATTATAAACATATCAATTTGTTTGTCATATAAGTAATAAAAATGAACTCGGATTCTTCTTTGGGGAGTTAGTAGTGTCTTATTTGAGGAATACTTCTTATACTGGCCCAAGGCATAAATATAAAATGTTATTCATTACACCATGGTCCATGCAATTTTAGTATTTTGGATACAGTTTTAAAAGTAGATTCCCTAATTAACAATAATATTAATGAGCAGTTATTTGTGCCAGGCTGTAGGGTAAATACCTAACATTCATGATTTCATCTGATCTTCATGATCATACTAAGAAATCTATATTTTATATGAGGGGAAGTTTTTACTCAAAGTCATAATCTCATATAAATGGTGGAATTAGAACTATTTAAAGTGTGTATTTAATCGGAGGTGCCAATTAATGTGTGACTCCCTTTAAAATGCAGCATTCTAAATACTTATTTCATGTTTTGCATGCAATCTTTTAATAAAATTTACTGCACTTTCCTTAGAAAAGGTTTCTAATTGGATACAAACTATACATAGACAGTAATACTTTCATAAGTTGAACTACACAGAAATATTTCTGTGTGCTCATATTCTGGCAAAGAAGATGAATATCAGAGGCAGAACACTTAAAGGGTGATGGGTTATACCCATAATTTGTGTAAACTCTGGCCACCATCTCTTGGGTTATGCTAAAGATGCTCTAAACATGTTTTAAAAGAGTATACCTAAAATTGTCCCAAAAGTCCAAAATAATCTTGTAATTTTTAAGGGACCACATTTAGGACTAAAAATCAGTTTTGTTTAAATTCTATATTTAACTTTTTGCTCTTCTACTGACATCAGTAGCTGAGCATAGCTACGATCGTTCAGTCTTTTCACTAGAAAATCCCTTATCATATGTCAGCAGACATTATCATTGTGTTACATAACAAATTCCTTTAAATAAAATCTTTAAAAAATTCCCTCTTGGTTCATCCTTGAATTTTTTCAGTCCACTGGGGAGTTTGATGCATGGGTGGATGGAAGCCTAGGAAAAGAATGGATTTTCAAGTTAAAAGCAAGATGAATCCATTATAGAAAATTTCAAATGAGAATGCCCAAGAAGAAGGAAGGAACAAAACCATATGGTAACTTATGGTCACTAAATGGAGTTGTAAAAATGAGAACATATTTGAACAGAGTAATTCCATTTCGTAAAATCATAATCTAGAAAAGGACATGGGGAATTATTTAGTAATTATTCTATTTGCCCCAAGGCAAGATTGCATGTAAAGACAGAAGTAATTTTTGAGAGTAGGGGGTTGGTTACCACTAAGATGCCTAGTAGATGAGAATTACAGTAGTTAAGGTATCAGGTGGCACAGATATTACTTTTTTCAGTTCTAGAATGAAGGTGAAAGAAAAAAGACCTAGATTACAGTTTTAGAATTTAAGGATGGTAGACTTATTTTCAGTGATTTTTTTTTATTTTAAGAGAAATCTTTGTCATATTACCTAACACTGTAGGACATACATATCTTGTTACATTTTTGACATAGTTTGTTCTCCTTCTCTATGTCTCTGTGTCTTGGTCTCCCTACCTTTCTGCTGGGGATCAAACCCCTTATGGGTCTTGCACATACCAGGCAAACATCCTATCACTGAACTACATCTCCAGCCAGCCCATTTGCCTCAACTTTTAACATTTTCAATGCTGGAACAGAATCTTTAATTTTTATATGATTTTAACTAAGTTTTACTTTAAGAGGACTAAATCTAGATTAAACATAAAAATGACATTAACTATTTTAAAAGCAAAACTCGCTCCTGCCCCTTCTTAGTATTATTTGGGAGAAAAGCATTCACCAAAAGACAGAATAATTCTACAAAGAATTTGGCATGACAGTTGTACAAAAAGCCAAGCATGGGTCTATCTCTGGGCAGCACATCTGAACAAAGAATCACAATGACACAGAACACGGAAACATTTGAGAGTACAGCAGTTGGATGGTGGGGCTCCTACCACAGATAAAGTGCCCTCTTAGGCCTCTAAACACCACACACATATGCAACACTGTACAAGACACAGTAGTGGAATGAGTAAGGATGAGTGACTGAGAAGCCAGGCTACCACAAAATGTCACCAAGTATTTAACATTTTAAGACTACACAAAGAGTCCTTTTATTTTTAAAGGAAGGGAGTGAGGAGCAGAGTCACATTATAAATCTGATTCACTGTGCTCAACAGTCAAAACAACACAGAACTCAACATTCAAGACAAAAACAGACCTTTATTTTCTTTTATAGTTTTCAATGGGTTTCCTTGGTTTTTCTCAGATGAATATCAATTAAGTCTATAGGGCTACTGTTGCAACTGAAAACATGAGAGCACCTTTATTTTCTTGTTTGTTCTCTTCTTCTTCATCTCCTTCATTTCCCTTCAGGATTCTTTCTCTTCTCAAACTTTGCTTTTTCTTCTCTTAGAAGAAGCTTGCTTTAGAAGATGAGGCAAACACTTGGTGAGGCCTGCTTCCCAACTGAATTTCTTTCAATGTGCCAATTCAGCCATTGGAACACTGGCTAAAAACCAGCTCTTTAGCAATTTGAGTGAATGTTTCTGAAAATTGGCAAAGTGTAGACCACATTCAAATAAAAGGACATATATAGGAGCCTTCTGTGATTCCCACCGAGGAAGTGTATCACTGCTGCAATGACATTTTAATCGGCATCTAATTTATTCACGAAATCTGGATCTATGAAGGAATAAAATTTCCCCAAATCGTATTTACATTTGTAGCATATAAATTAGGTCTGTGTCAGATCACACATCAAAAAAAGTTCCATTTTATGAAAGGAGAGAGCCCGTATAAAGTCCCTTTTCTTATATAAAATTTCATTGACTGGTAGATTTGAAGGTCAAAATTAAACAATTTGTATTCTGTGCCAAGAGATGATCACTTCTGGCTGTACCATATTTGGTAGGAATGAAAAAATATCCTCTTTGGCGTCATTCATATATGCATATATGAATATATATATCCCACCATGAAATATTAGGAATCTAGGAACATAGTGAATATCACAATAGTTCATTGGTTTTCTGCAGGTTGCATATGATCACCAGGTAGTAAAAAAATTAAGCAAAGCTCAAACAGATTACTTAATGAAAGACACTAAATTTGTTATAATGTCTTAAAACTACTTATGAGCAGATCATAATGTATTTCTCAATTACTCCATATTTTTTTGCTAATAAATTCTATTCATTTAGGCTCAGTGGTTTCCAAACTTCTTTGACTGTACATACTTACAGGCTAAAACACTTGGGTTGTTCATAATTTACATACATTTATTAGTCTATATCAATCTATGCTATAAATATACACAAAAATGAAACTAAAAGGATGAGATATAAAACTCGAGAGGAATTCCCATTATTTTCTTCCTGTATGTTAATGGATTCTCTTTCAAAGATCTATACTGTAACTTCTCTATAAGGGGAATTTGTGTTACATTTGCATTTCTCATTCTCTATCTGCCATAATGCCTCATGTTCTCAACAAATTCAAATGGAGTGATAACTGTCTTCATAAATAAAATATTCCGAAGATTTCCTATTAGGTGACTGAGTAATTACTGAAAAGAAATTATATAATAATGTTCATATTTCTTTTGATGAAAACTTAGGACAGTAAAATCTCACTCTTGTCTTCCCATTTCCCTGGCACTGTAATGACACTGTTAAAGCAGAGTAAAAGATGAAGGCGAAGCCAGGAATTGGGCTCTGAAACCAACAATGGTAAATGGATAGTTGATACATGTTTTAGAAGAGAATTATATTCTTTTAAAATTGGACAATGATTTCCTCATGAAGACAGTTGTTCTTTCTTCAACACAGCTGTGCAATGAGCACACAAGGTTGGGAAGGGTTAAATTACAAATAATAGAGAAGGCTAGACATATTAGTATTAATTGTCAGCCAAATCGAAGTGGCATTTGTTCTTATACAACTAGAAAGCAC